GTTTGCCAGGTTATATGGCAGAACATGTAATTTTTTATTTCTTGGAAAATGGATAGAGGCAACCAGCTCACAGATTACATTTTGAGAGCTTTGGCTTTCAAGCAATTATAATTTTTACTTATTACTGACTAGACCAGAGTCAAAAGTATTGTAAGGGATATTAAAATTATTAAGTGTCCTAGAAAAGGAACACCCTGAATTCCCTCACCTTTCAACAGGCTCTTCCACATAATGGTGATAGTTATTTTTCATTCTTGAATGCTCAGCTAACTCTTTAGATTTAATGTTTTATTTAATAAACAAAAGCTTCCTTCCCCCCACCATGTCCCTCTCTTAGAGGTTTATATTAGAAAACCCTTTTTATTATAAAAACCAGCATCATAGTTTGTAAAGGCAAATGAAAATAAATAAATCTGATTTAAGTCACTACCCAGACAAAGGTTATACTTGCAAGTACATTTTCTTTCTTCAGAAAAATATTTTAATAATCATTTTTTGTTGGCATATTCTCTGAAAAAGTGCTTCCAGAGACAGTGTTTATCTTTCTGTTGTAATATATTCTGCAGAATTCTAGTGGTTACATACATAAAGAGATAGAATTAGACATTAATATTTTAACTTATCATCATCAGAAAAATAATTTATCATTGAAAATGTTACCATATAATTGCATGGCAATTATCTTAATGAATATAACCTGTTATGTCCGATTTTATTTGTCCACTTTAACACTTCTTTGAAATAGAATCCCATTAAAATGTTTTTCATTATTGTCATTACTGTCATGACAACTGCATCAAAATACTTTACTGCAAATTTAATGAACCTACTACTGTCTGATCTCTTACTGCAAAAGTAGTTTGGCTTGGATGGACCTTTTACACAGAATGTGTTCCTGCAGAATAGTGTTTTTACACAATGACAGTAAATGGATTACTTTATAGAATTCCCATTTTATCTTGCATCTGCTGATTTTACCTTCACAGAGCCTTGGTTGATCTTACCTATTGCCTCAGTAAGGCGCCTGCTAATAGGGTTATATATCTGCAGTTAAAAGATCCGTGTCTCGGGTAAAGCAATGATCATACTTCCCTTTTTAGGTGTTTAGTCTGTTATATGCATTCCTGTAATCTTTTAACACTTGCTTTCCCATATGTATGCATATCCTAAATAGTGCCCCTGAAACTGAAAATCTAAAATAATTTGCAGCTAGTTGTGAATGAGAAGGCATTTGTATAACATTTGTATAGTATCTGAAGAAGTGTTTAACAGAGGTAAAAATGCCCTTTTGACTAATTGTAAGATTATAAGTAATTCAGTTTATAGCTAACTTGTTTCAAGTTAAGCACAGAGTTGTAATACAGGTAGCCTGAACATTCAAAGCAGAATGTGCAACCACATTTATGCTCATGTATAAGGCAAACGGTAGAGTGGATGACATCAATTGCCCTAAGTTAGACCTTGAGGAAATAGTATTTAGAGATGAACATGTTTAAAACCATATAAAATTGCTGCTTAGGTTGCTTGAATAGTGGGAAAAAAGAAATGCTCGAAGGACAGATTTTTTTTAATTGAGTACTTCACAGCTTGTTCTGAAAGTGTGAACATTTCACTGATGAAATACAGTCACTGAAATCTCTGTTTCTGAGAGTGTTTATGTGCAAAGTAGAGTGTTTGGACATTTCTGTCAGTGGGTGTGAAGACCAAGAATATTTTATCTCTCAATTGGAATTAAACATATGGAAAAGACTGGGTTACATTTTCCCAGACTGCTGTTTTGATTTCTTTTCATTTAATTTCATGTTCTGTGAGAAGAATGCTGTTCTCCAGGGAGAGCACACCAGCAGCATAAGGGTGGGTGGAATGCAAGGATATCTGGTTTGCTAGGATATCTGGCTAACAGCTAGTCACCTTAAAACACAAGGAAGAATCAAGAGAAGTCAATTAAACACTCTGATACTGTAAACACTAAGGAACAGGAGACAAGAAGACAGTAACAAATACAGGGATCCTTAAGGCGTTAATTGATGGGCCACTAGAGGAACCTCTGAATCATGGCCTTGAAGAGGTTCAACCAGAACTTTGTCACTTATAAGAGAGAAGCAAGTTTATGATAGATCTCATGGGAAGATGCAAACTTTTAATGCAAAATTTGAGGGGACTTGAGAAGTTTTGTAAAACTTCTAAGGCTCTTTTATGGGCATTGTGGGAATGAACAAAATTTATTATGGCTTATTTAGGAAAGGGTCCAAATGCAGGGAAAAGGAAGAGATGGAAGTGGATCAGAGAAGAATTAGTGGAAACAGGAGAAAAGAGGGGTTGGTCATGTCTAAAACAAGCTGCTGACCAGTATGCTTCTCTGGCTAAGGCTTGGACTTGATTGCCTCACTGTAGACAAACTAGCTATTAAGGTCTCTTCCCAACTCTTTTCCCATGTGGATTTGCCTGGCCAGCAGTTTGCTTCATGACAGACTAGCTGGTGGCTGGGAAGAGAGGCCAGGGTGCCAGCACCTGTATGTAGAGGCCATGGGTCAAAAGGACCCAAAGGACCCATAGGTTTAGGGGACAGTGATTGGAGAGATGGGTCAGCTGCCAGAGGGGCCCATTTGTCTATGTGACTGCAGCTCAGCTAAAGTAGCTGGTGAGTTGGGCAAGCAGACTATGAGCCTGATAGTGGAGGAGTGGAGTCTGATAGATACTGGAGGAGCATAGACCTGGACCAGTTGCCAGAGAGCCCCATGTGAATGCATACTAGCAAGTTTTGAGCCTGATTAACCAGAAAGTACAAACACAACCCGGCCATTAGGATTGTTCATGTTACATAAATACTTTTGGTGTAAACCTGTGGGCGTGCAGGCGCTGCTGAAGGCCCTCTCCCTGGATTGCTCTGTGCTGCCGGATGAGTGTATATGCATCTCTGAGCTACCTGCCTAGCCAGACTGCTGGCTGGACTTGGGAATGGCCTGAGGAAAAAGGTCTGGGGTCTTACAGCCTACCGGATTTATCTTACCTTAACAGCCAGTACCATGGCTATATGGTCTGCCTTTTAGCCTGCAGTGTATCTACACAGTGTCCATATACAAGCGTAAGAGCTGGGTGTTGGGAACTGTAGGAAGCAATTGTCTGTATGAAGTCTGAATGTCAGTAATTTATAGTGTTGCTTTATAGTACATTCTCAAGTGGTGGTGATATGATTTTGTAAACATACCTGTGCCCCGGGATTTTAAAATTTCCTAGAGAATAACTGAAGCTAATGTGCAAGTGCAGCAGAGAATTCAGAAATGGCTATCTGAAATGTAGGTGTGTTTGTAGGAGCCGTATTCATATATTATAGTAGCACATTGATTCAATAACATATTTCAAGTCCACCTCGTGGATCTCTGGGAATGACATAGCTTTTGCCATCAATATGATTGGCCTGAAAAGTTGCTTTTCTGTCTTCATTTTTATTCCCAAATGTACACTTTTGACACTTGATTTGTGATAGCTGACACCTCAAAGCTGATATATAGCTCAGAAGTTAAGCAGCAGAGGGCCAGGCAGAATGAGCTGGCTATAATCTCTCAAACATACCGTACTCTCTGACATCAAATGTGAAAATCATCAGCATGTGTATAGTGTCAAATAGAAAAAAATACTGAAGTGAAGTGGAAAATTACTTGAGTTTTGACACAGAGGAAGTTAGGCTTTTAAACTACCTGGTATATGTTTTTCATCTCTTTCCCTTTCTTTTGAAGGATATAGAAACCAGAATTGTTATTTCTGTATTTCATAGCAACTCCTGTGTCCCTGTTGCTGAGGGAAGGGAAGGAAAAAGGGAAAAGGAAAAACACGTGAATAAACGTGTCAAAGTCTTTCCCAGAAGGCTTCTGGATTGTTCAGTACTGCACTAGGAGAAGAGGCAAATAAGCGACAAAGATAGGCTTCTTTTTCCTATATTTGCTTGCAAAATTATTGAAATGAAAACAGAATTTACCAGTTTGGTTTTTTTGGGTTTTTTTTTGTTTAGTTTTAGGGAGAAGGAGAATTGAAGTTCCTGCACCCTGACTTACTATACCAAACATATGTCTGTTTAAAATCAATTTGTTGTAAATCAGTAGTTTTCTTGATGACAATAAGTATGTTTTGCGTATCTTTAAAAAAAACAGAAGGAAGGTGGCTTTGAAGGTTTGGAAAAGCATAATGCAACTGCTATGTGTGAGCATATACAGACAACGATTTTAACAGTTCTGGTAGTGGTCAGACTGGAGTTTGGATGAGAATGAGCTGCCTTCTTCTCATAAAACAAAAGATGTGTCAGAGGTTATAGTATAATATGTACATACAAATATATACGTATTATACTATATACATATATCAATATGTAACTGATAACCACTAAAAATGTAAAGAGGAATATGAGGCTTAGAAGAAAAGACAAATACATGATTTCAGGCACGAGTATCTGGTCTGCTAAATACGATTTGAGATTAGCCACACTTGCACTTTGTAGAATGAAATCTGAGAGTATGGAAAAGGCTATTTCAACCTCATTGAATTAAGAAATTTTCCATAATGTGTGAAAGCAATTTCCAGCCACTGAAAGGATTTTTCATGGCAGAAGGTCAGAAGGCCTTTCAAAGAAGCCAAATTTCACAGAATCATGCAATCACAGAATAGTTTGGGTTGGAAGGGTTGCCTAGTCCACCCCCGCCCCAATGAGCAGGGAAATCTTCAGCTAGAGCAGGTTGCTCAGAGACCCTTCTAGCCTGGCCTTGAATGTTTTCAGTGATGGGCACCTGATCCAATGTTTCACCACCCACATTGTAAAAAAATTCTTCCTTATATCTAGTCTAAAACTATTCTCTTTCAGTTCAAAACCATTACCCTTTGTCCTATCATAATAGGCCCTATTACAGTTTCTCCCTATCTTTCATATAAGCCATCTTTATATACTGAAAGGCTGCTATAAGGTTCCCCTGGAGCCTTTTCTTCTCCAGGCTGAATAAGCCCAACTCTCTCAGTCTGTCTTCATAGGAGAGGTGCTCCAGCCCTCTGATCATCTTTATGGCCCTCCTCTGGACTTGTTCAAGCAGATCCGTGTCCTTCTTGTGCTGGGGGCCTCAGACCTGGATGGAGTACTGCAGGTGAGCTCTCACAAGGGGGGAGTAAAGAGGGAGAATCACTTTCCTTGACCTGCTGGTCACTCTCCTTTTGATGCAGACTAGCATATGGTTGGCTTTCTGGGCTGTGAGTGCACACTTCCAGCTCTTGTCCAGGTTTCCATCCACCAGTATTCCCAAGACTCTCTCCTCAGGGCTGCTCTCCATCCTTTCATCTCCAGCCCTTACTGATACAGGGGCTTGTCCTGACTCAGATGCAGGACCTTGCACTAGGCCTTGTTGAACTTCATGAGGTTCACACAGGCCCACTTTTCAAGCTTGTCCAGGTGCCTCTGGATAGCATCCTGCCACTCAGGTGTGTCAGCCACACCACACAGCATGGTGTCATTGGCAAACTTGCTGAGGGTGCACTCATCCCACTATGTCGTTGATGAAGATATTAAACAATACTGGTCCCAGTATGGACCCCTGAGGGACACCACTTGTCAGTGATCTCCATCTGGACATTAATCCTACTTCTGCTAATTCTGCCTCATGTCAGGAATCAGAGGAAAGACCATATGCCATTACTCCCCAGAACAGATCAATAAGCAGGTTTCAGCAGAAAGAGATGTAAAAGTACACTAAATAGTTTGTTTCATTGAAGAATGTTTAAACAGGGATCAAAGTCAATCACAGTGTCAGGAAAAGGCTTGCTTTGGTTCAGTAGGACAGCTTTTTTCCATTTTTACTTAGGAAAGAGAAGCAGTATTGTTTCGCTCTCTAGAGTATAGGTCAGGATACATTTTATGATCCCATTGGAATGGTATCAATTGCGCTGTGTGAATAATACTGTTTTACAGCCATGTTTTAAAGCAACTGCTACAGTATTTTATGAAAGGTTCAGCTTTGCAGCTGGGTGCAAGCTGTGCTGTGCACACATCTGTTTTTAGGTTCAAGTTTAAGTTATTTTGTTCTCTTTCTAGGTTTCACTCTGGCTTACAAGGAAGGGCAGATGCTGCTCCCAAGAAGGGTAGCTTGGAGTTCACATAGAACTGCAGTGACTGGTGTGCTGCTCAAGGGTCTTCATAGATGTGAACATGAAGTGCATTATGAAGCCTAAATCTTCTTTTGGATCTGGCTGATATTCTAGGCACCTCTTAAATTCATAGTTTAACTTTGTCTTAAAGATTTGAAGAGATGCTAAGCAAGCATGGGGAGATTCAGATTGCAATCTGAAGTCTGTTTTTTAGGTTTGAGTATATTAATGTAAGGATGAAAGGCTGAGTCAGCTTTTTCTGTCTTTCAGGCTTGTATATAAACTTTTAATAATAAAGAGTCAACAGACTTGTATTTTTACAATATGATCCTTCCCCTTTGCATTCACTAACTCTGCCACCTGCCCTGTAGAAGTGCAGGCTAAGGAATAGCAGAATACTGCTGCCCTGGGGTTAGGTCAACCTCAGCAGATGGGAGAATCCTCAAGAAGTGCTGTGTCTTGAGTATCCCTTTGGTGGCATCGGTTAGCACTTGTGATTTTCTTCCAGCTTAGTGCTTTGGTGGCTTCTTGTTACTAATACCTCAGACTGAACTTACATGGAAAATTTATCTTTCTTTTATTCTTTGTTTCTGCGAGCTTTTAAGGCTTAAGAAACAATATATTCTTTAACTATCTCACTGTAAGTTGTTTAAATGTGATTTTTGTTTGCTTTTGGGTAACAAAAAGCTTCAGTAAACTGTGTTACACATGTAAAGATAACACGTTTCTTTGTAGTCTGGTTATAGCTTTGGACAACATTTTAAAGCCTACTAGCAATTGTAAATCAATACATGTCAATTAAATGTACATGTGACTGCCAGTTCAAATTTGTTCTGTATTTATTTACTTAGGTTTGGCTGCTACCAGTTATTTCACCTTTTATCAACTACAAGCAGCATGAACCTAACAATGAAGAATGATGCAAATATAATGATCCTATTGATTGAAGCAGAGATTTGTACTTTGAGAGAAATTGAATTCACCTACTGAAACAGAAGCTCCTTAGGTAATGGACTTAGATGAGCTAAATATCAACTGAAATATCATCTTACAGAATGGACATCATGGTATTTGCCTCTTGAGGGTATCTAGATAATAGTAAATTCTTGTCAGGTGTACTGAAGCTGTGCTTCAGGGAACATTAAGGTGCATCATAATGGCCTCCACAGTTCACAACAGTTCAGAAATACCAGTGAATGAAAACACAAGGGGTTTCACTTCAAAATACTGAAAATAGCTCACAGCTGTTTTTTCCCCAGCCTTACTGAAGATACAGCCCCTTCTTTCTTACCCCTTGCCAGTTCTGTGGCTAGGTTTCCTGTGTGTTGATTTCAGCCTTACCTTACACTGCAAGACAGCAGTGAATATACAGAGCTGTTAAGACCAGCACTTTTTCCTCTTAGGAGCAAACAGTCAATACTCCCTGAACTCATTATCTGCTGGTGCATCTGCATTGCCTGTATAAATTTTTATTCCTAATAAATGACTAACTCATCACACATTAATCTACAATAATGTGATCATTTCAAGATTTTGCTTTATTTCAAACAATCCTCTAGACAACTGCATAGTTCCAGGAAGGTGCCATTTTTTGTGATACTATCATGATTAAGTTAAAATGCGTGATGGGAACTTTGGCTCATACACTAGAAATGCTCTTTCCACTTATGCTTTTAAGATATGTGAAACAGATTTTCCTTGTTTATCCAATGGCCAGTGCACAATGAAATCTCATCTTCTTGATGGAAAAAAGTCCAGTCACTTAATTGCTTAAAACCTGAATCACTCAACCAACTTCAATGCTGCCTTTTAAAATATATTTTTAATGTAGACTTGTAAGTCTTCCAAGCTTAGCAGGTGACTGCCAGTTTTGGTGTCCCAGGCAGATGTCCCTCTCATAGCACTGAATTGGTGAGGGTGCTCACCCTTCGCTTGCCCCTGTACTAGGACAGCAGCTTTGACTCTCTATATATCCCCTCACTTGAGACAATTGCCTTAATCCTTTAATATTCACCCTCTGGGTTTTTTTTTCCCCACTTTTACAAACCTTGGTTCTGTTCATTCGTTCAAATGAGGTAATTCCGTTGTACTTGCAATAACAGTCCTTCCAGAATAAGAATTAAAGGCAGGAGGAGGAGGTCCAGAGACAATAACTAAAGTCAGCCACAGCCCCAGGATGGCGGTGCAGGACTACAGGGGTACAGATGGGCTAAGGTGAGGCTGGCATTCCAGCTGGTAGGTTGGAGGCATCCCCACAGCCTGACTGGAAGAGCTCTCTTCATGGTCATCAGTGGCACTGTCTCTAAGCTGGTCCTCAGCCTGGGCAGCCAAACCCCTAAAGGTAAGGGATACACTCAAGAGCCCTGCCACCTTGAGATGAGTTTTTTTCCTAGAGGAGAAGAACAGTAAAATTTAGCTTTGGTATGTAGAGGAAGATTTTATTTGTGGGGCTTGAGGGTTTTTTTTTTCTGTGAGGTTAGATACATAGCTGCTATCTTTGGTTTCAGCTGTTGGAATGTGCCTAGAGAAAGGATGGGACTGAAAAATGGCAGAACAGAAACAGAGTGTTTTGCTGGTGTTTAAAACAGTCATTTTGACTCCTGTCATTCATAAGATAAATTTTACTTTTTCAGTCAATTTTACAAAGTGCACTTGTCATAAAGGTTGCTCTGCAGTGTAGGGAATTGTCCTCAAAGTTATCCTTCACATGTGGGAAGTATGCTATGCTATGCAGTGATCACACTCCCAGTACACTGTGCCTTTGGTTCATGAAGCACTGTAGGGAACATCAGGTTTTGTAATCTCACCATTTTTGCCCTTTATTTGGAAGCTTTGCCTAAGCTCAGTATGCCTGAGTGTATTGAGATAGGGAATAATCTTAATGTTCTTTCTTCAAATACTTTCTTAATTCCTGGACAAGAGCTCTTGGAGCAAAGAGCTATTTCCTCTTGCTTTCTGCCTCTTCATTAAGAAATATGTTTTCTGTTGTTAATATGCAATTTCAATATAAAAAGGTCAGTTTAACACAGATCAGTTTCATCACATATCAAATTAGTTTATTGATTAGAACTATGAAGAGCATAGCTAATCAGTGGTGCAGAAAGTACATAGCCTAACTCTGCATGCTTAGGGGTAATATTTTTACCTCCAGATAGGTATGGCTAGCAGTCAGCTTTCATTAGCTGAAGTAACAGAAGTATATAATATCCCAGAGTATGCAAAAACTTAGATGGATTGTTGGATGTAATGCTTGCACTCCAGGTATGCCTAAAAGCCAGTTTATCAGGATTCATCAGTTCTGACAAGGCATTATAAAGGAGTTCTGTATTGCATTCTGAATGCATTTGGTTCCAGCAGGTTTACTGGCAGGGTGCAAAACCAGTTTTGGTCTGCTCTGGAGTTGAACTCATGTATTCTCTTAGAAAGAGGGATCCCAAGGAGTTGCAGCACGTTAAGTGGTCATCTGTGTGCCACATAGAATCATAGAATCGTACTGTGCCTGATCTAGTAAATTCTGCTGGAATTCATCTGGATCATCAGTAAGATGGCTTTGCTCATGTCTTTGGACTAGTTAATTGCAACCCAGCTGGACTGCTGCAGAAATTAACCTGTTCTGTATTCCAGGTCAGGGTGCACAGTCAGCACTTGCTCACACCCTGCTCATCAGTCTTAAATTGCCTATCTCAAAGTTCCCTGTTGCTTAATTGTATGATTCTGACTCATATTAACCCACATATTATTTAGTGCTTTTACTTTACCTAAGTGCAGTAGAAGAGCAATAAAATAGACAACAGCAGTCAAAATTCAGTCTTTTAGGGGAAAGTCCTCCTGCTAAATTTCTTTGCCTCCTTATTCTGCTTTCTTGCTAGATTAGTGCCAGTTCTTACTCTGTATTTGTTTATAATTTAGAGGCCTATAAAGTTACTTAACCTGCATCAGTTTAACTCCAGGCTGAGAGTTTAAAAGCATCAGGCACATAGGTTAACTTTTACTTATGGCCATGCACCATGAATACAGAAAACATGCAAATCATGGTCTGATAATAAAGCACTTACCCAGCAGTTCTCCAGATCAGATATAACAAAGCTGAGCCTGAGCATAAATGCATGGGATTATGGAAATGTTGTTTACAATTTGTTACAAAGGCCTTATTATAATGAAGAATAAAATAGAGATAAAATGCTATGCTATGATAAAATGCAATCAGTTTCCATTACTTATAAATGAACTTATTCAGAATTTGGGGAAGATCATGTACATACTTTTTTTACCTCTGTATGAGTGAGAATACAGTGATTAATACAGAGGGGACCAAACTTTGATGAAGATTTTTTTAGGGTCTATCCTAATAAAAGAATAAATTATTAAATTTTTTTTTTCCTAATGAATTGATGTTGCTGCTCAAACAGAAGATGTGATTAGCCATCAGCAAAACTGTATAGGGGTAATTTCACACTGTATTGCAAAGTGTACAAAAGACAGAAATATGAAAAGTGAAAATACAGATTTTTTTTTCTTTTATTTGTTTGGTTTCCCTATATTGTAGTGACGTATGTTAAAAATATGTCCAATGCTTTTGATGAAAATATACTCTCCAAGTGTAACCCTTGATAAATTATCACATACATGGAAAGAATTGCATCTTAACTGGTCTATTTCTGTCTAATACTATTCATAATTTCTCAGGACATCCAGTTACTTGATTCAGTACTATTTGCAGCTTCTACTAATGACCTCCCAAATTAATGCTTGGCATCAAATATTCATTTATACAGTGATTGTGTTGTTAGCTGGCAGATCAGTCTTCTACTGAAGAAAATACTTTAGCAGATGAGAGGCAGAGAACAGAGAGATTAAACAAGTTCCAGAAGGCAATTGCCACCAGAGATCTTTTTAATTTTGGCCGATAGGGGATGAGACAACAAGGTATCACACTGCCAAGCCTAATTGCAGCTATCAATAAAGGTGCTGGTAAAATACAACTCAAGTTTGCTGATGTTAACTTCGCAAATAATGAGAGGCTGCTCACATAAAAGAGTCTTTGTCAAAAAAGACATTTAAAAATGTGTTTTCATTTCTAAAGGGACATAATAAGAAAGTGTTATAATGAAAGCACAAGAACAGTGGTTACACTTTGTGTGAACCTCCTAATAAACGTGTGCCTCTTTCATGTTCAGTAAACAGAAGATAGATAGTTAATTTCAGACTAGGTTTTATCCCATTTCTGTGGATTTTATTTAGTATTTTATTTAGTTACAGCTGTAACTCAAAGGCTATGAATTTTTTTACTGATGTACTTCTTAATGTTTCTTAATGGAATAAATCACTTTGATATTGCAAATGCCGTCTTAGATCACTATAACCCATCTGTCCCTAAGGGCATAAAACCAGAACAGTTTGAAGGAGGATAAACCTGTCCTCTAAAATTCCAAAGCTCTCATGCAGTGGTGTGGATGTTTTATGCATTTCTCAAGTTTTTCTTAGTTTCACTGGATGAATTTCTGATCCTGTGCAAGCCAAGGGACAATCTCCAATATGCTACAGAGGAACCAGAGAATCACCAATTTTTGCTGACTTTTTTTCTATAATTTCAAACGTGCTATGTTTTCTCTTGCTAACGCTGTCCTTCCCCATGCCTTGATTTTCTTAAATGACTTCTAATAAATGTCTTCATAATTAGTGAAATAATTATTATTATTGCTATTTTTATTAATTGCAATATTCATGGTGTTTTATGAATTTTCTTTAACTGTATTGCCATCACAGTGGAAAAAACACACTCATTTCAGCAGACATGTTAGATATTTTATATATCAGAAAACTTGACACATTGTGTCTGAGATCATGCCATGTAAATGCTATGTTCTGCATTTCTGTTAATGCATTACTGAATTGTGCTGTTTTGTGCTTCTGTAGTGGGATGCTGGACTCCACTGCCCAGGTTGCAAGGCCCAGCATGCTGAAGAGTCAGTAATGATGTTACAGATCAGCCAGACAGCTGAGTCC